CACCACTCGTCTCTGTCTCGTCAGCCAACACCTGCTTAACCTGCATCCATGAAGAGCAGGTGGGAGTGAGCACGGTGAACTGTAGTGCTCACTACTATGCACATGATCAATAATATAGTACGAGAAATTAAATGGCATGGTCGCTGTATGAACATAGTCAATAAATATCTCATCTCCTAACCAAAGTATTCTCATGTGCACACCTATAACAATAGACTGCTGCTCGTATGCCTTTCGGTGAACATAAATGGGGTGCCCAAACAGCAGGAGGCTCAACCGTCACAGCCCGTACCTAGTGCTGAAACAGGATATCCATCACCGGCCAGGGCACATTGCCAAGGTCTTACAGATGACGTGGTCCTTAGCAAAGGACAAATATGGAGATTACCCTTTTGGGGTACGTTCTATAGCTACGGGGATAACCGTTCGACGGCCGGTACAACTCACATCGAAGGTTACATGCTCACATGCATACATTGATCATACCCACATAAATAAAGCAATTATCATTCAAGGCATAAACAAATTTTGAATAACCCACCTGGATAGCTCGGTGAAAAATTGCACACAAGAGCAAGTACGTAGGATGAGGCTCGGCTCCTCAAACACCTACATTTAAGCGAGATAATTTATCAATAATTTATCTCACTACTCAAATTTAACATAAAACCCATACTTAATAAAAATTAAGTCTTAAGGGTTTTAATCGGATTTTTCGTGGACTTGGAACTCTCTCATTTTTGAAAAATATGACTCGGAGAACAAAATGGAGTTTCGGGACTTAAAATAATTTTTCCCAAATTTTATCACTTGAAAATAATAATTATATATTTTTTTTTTTTTAACTGCTGTGAACGAACATAGAAGATAAAGGAAAACTTTGAACTGATCTTGTGAGGGCTGGTGCCGGGTCTTATGCAGGTGAGGGAAGGAGAACGTGCGCTTAAGAATCGCAAAAGATTTCTGATCCATTGGGGGAGAATGACTCAGTCGCACAACGTGGGGAAGAAAGAAATCTGTTCTCAATTGCACGCCCATTTTCTTAAGCATTGGGCCAAGTCAAGTTGGGCTGAAATTTAAATACCATTGGGCTAATTTGCTAAAATTACAATGGACCCATTTTAGAAACCATTAAGAAAAATGGCCAAGAGAATATATGAAAAAGGGCCCAATAATTGTTAACACAAATAGGGCTGGAAAAATAATCTCAATTGGGCCGGAAGGAAGAAAATGCTATAACAAGAATTTCCGTTCGATTCGATTGGCGACGAATAATAATTAATCCGAATTATCTATATTTATAATACACGCAATATATATTTATAACAATAATAATCATTTAAAACAATTAGACATTTAATCACAAATAATATTTACTAACAATAATAATAATAATAATAATAATAATAATAATAATAATAATAATAATAATAATAATAATAATAATAATAATATAAATAAGCAACAATAATGACAATAATAAACTAATAAATATTCTCAAATATTTCAAATTCAAACGGGGCGTTACAATCTACCCACCTTAAAAGGAATTCCGTCCTCGGAATTCGAAAATAAAACATCCAAACTCTACAATACATCATCAATCATGAAGTTCGGATATCTCCTCCTATATCGGTCTCAGTCTCCCCAGTTGCCTCGGACTTGCCGTGTCGGTTCCAATGCACCTCACGAGATTGATTGCCCGGGTCCTCAGCTGATGAACCTTCCGGTCCAGTACGAACACCGGTACCTACGCATAGGTAAGGCCTCGCTCGACCTGCAACTCGACGAAGTCCACCATATGTTCGGGATCATGCACTCTGACAACACAGTCGGTAAAACTAACCGGTAGGCCAAGTCTTTGACTCGTGCGAGAGTCTGAAAGGGTCCGATATAGTGAGGCCGAAGCTTTCCCTTCTTCCCGAAGCGAATCACACCCATCGGGTGCGACCTTCAGGAAGATATTCGTACCAACATAAATCTCATGGTGATTACATAGCCTCCAATCGAGACTCGAGACTCCGCTCGACAATGCAGCACCACGATTATCTTCCGGTTCGAGGAACATTCCTCGTACGGCTAAGCGATTAACAACAAAACTCACTTAATCGAGAATTAAGCGGTCATACATCGGTTTGGTGGAACTTGGAGCTCTCGGTTCAAAGTTCAAAAGACAAGGTTCAAGAGGTTTCCCAACATATCTTGGTACAAAAACTGGTTGAACAGTTCAAAAACGAATCAACGGTATGGGACTGACTATAAGGTCAAGGTTTGGCCGTACGCACTGGCCTGGGGAGTTTGGCGTTCGGTGATGGCGGCGGCAGCTCTCATGCGAGTCAACGGTCGACCACTGCAGTTGGCCTCACGTCTCTCAGCACGGGCATGCATGCTCGACCACCACTTCGCGTGGCTACACCCAGCAAGGGTCGGTATTCTGTTTGAGGCACAAGAAAAGAAATTCTATAACCCCGGGTTCATAATTTCCATGGTAAACAAAAGGAATAATGGTCTTACACAAAAATTCTAAACTACGAAAATTTAGGGTTCAATCAAAGATAATTCCATTTAATACAAAACAATTTGAACAGTTTCAAGGGTGTCAAACTTTATCAGGCATAAACCGAGTCCCAAGTCCACCACGTTCAACACAATATCCACTGAAATACCAAATATAGAGGTCGGAAAAACTTCCCAAAAGAAGCGAGGATTGGTTCCTCAGCTGGGAACAATCCCAATCCCAGCGGTCGCTACCGAGTAATGAAATGCTGAGCTCACTCGACTCTTCCGACTAACAGTGTCGGCCGTCACGTCAGCTCTTGATCAAGTAGCTAACCGTGCCAGCAGTCCTAAATGAGCTTCCAAAGATTACGATGAAAGAATACCAAAAGCGAAAACGTCTGCACTGCACGATGTGCCTGCACTTGGCACGGCTACCCTCCTTAAAAGATTCTCAAATCATTTAAGGTGGAACAACACTTCTTGAATTCTTAACCTCATGACGAAATAGAGGCATCAAAAAGCAAGTACTCTCAAATTACGAAAAAAGATAAGGATCAACAAAGGATTTAAAATGCTTAACTCCATCTGATATCTCATCCCATGCAAAGGAAGTGAAAACAAACAAAAATTCCAAAGTACTGAAATTAAGCAGAATAAAGGGGTTACAAACACAATTCAAAATAGTCTGCAAGCAAAAGGAAAATAAACGGTGGTTTGCAAGGTTTTCGAGAAAGCAATAACATTGAAGTAAAACAAGGCTGCTATGACTTCACGAGTCCATGGTTAGCTCTACTGCTGCTGAGGCGGCGGTGGAAGCTGTTGTTGCTGATGTTGGGGTGGCTGCTGCTGATTC